TGCTTTGTTGCAGTTTGCTGATTTTTGTAAAATAACTTATGTTTTTGCTTTTCAGATAGATAAAAGGGTTCAGTTTAATATGTTGCGGGCTCATTTATTGGTAATAAATAACTGATAATAAATAATATTGATGATAATAAATTATCAAAAAATATTGGGCTTGTTTTGGGCTTGTTTTCGAAGCTGCGGTTGCTTATTTGTCTCGCGAGAGTTGGCAACAGTGTCAGTGATTCGTCATCGAGTCATCACTCAAAAGCACAAAAACACAAAAACACTCCGAAAAAGTTCAGCTGAGGAACTTTGTTGCCATCGGTTGTATTTTTGTACTTAAAAGCAAACACTTTATTTATTTTAATTATGTAATTCTTTTTGCTCTCAGACGTTTGCATAATCTCCGGTTCGAGTCCTGCCGATTGCATAAAAGGTTTAGATTAGTCTTAAAAGTTAGTGATGTACTGGCCACCTGATCAGGGTGTTTCTCTGCCTGTTAATGGAATAAATAGTAGACTACCCTTTACTGTATCAAAAATATAGGCTACTGTGCCATCGATGTAGTCCGATTCACGACAAATGACTCTTATGAGCTGGGTCTTTTTGGAGAATAAAAAATATACAGGGCATCTAGTGTAGTGCAATTCACAAACAAAGACTCACAAAGAGTTGCCTGATTGAATCACTCTGATTGAAAAGTTAGTACAATACTGTACTTTCAGTATTGTCAGTTTTCAAAAATAAAGCAGTTTGTATAAATGCTGAAACTTATCACTGACTGGCTATTCACTTGGCAGGCATTCAGTCTTTAAAAAAACATATAGAGCAATATGCTGCAAATAGGCTATCTATTAACTTAATTGGCCTAAATGATAGTCACTTTCTTAAAAAAGACCCACTCTTCTTCATCATTTTTTAAAAGATTTATTTTTGCCATTTTAGCATTTATTACAATAGGACAGTGTGATGACAGGAAGCAAAGTGGGAGAGAGGGGGGACGGGATTGAGAAAGGTCAACGAGCCGGGACTCGAACTCAGGACGCCCAAAGCCAGTTAGGTGACCGCTCTTAGGTGATATGTTCACTTTGAAACTTGGTACAATTGTACAGGTTGGGGCCATCGCAAAAACACCTTGTGGTGGCCATGGCAACCATTACTTTCTGCCATAACCAAATTATGTGTTTTGTGTCATATCTATCTCCTGAACCAAACATGATAACACAGAAAAGGTGATGTCTACCCCTATGCTTTAATGGTCACGGATTACAATGATACCACATACAACAACATAAACTGCTCATAAAGTCATTGAATTAACCATTAACTGTTCACCTGATTGCGTTGCCGTCCGCGTGTGATGTTAGAGTATTGTTGAGAGAGAACAAGAATGTATTGGAAACACACTACCACCTACCTGACTCTGCCTGAGAGGTAAGGAAAAATACACTTACTTGAGATTATTTTTTTAATATCTCTGAAATGACAATATTCTTGAAAACAATCTTTTAATGTATTATTAAATAAACTTCTAACCAGAAATCGATAAAACTTTTACTGATGGTCTCCTACAAAGATAACTGTTTAAATGTGTTAACTGTTGTTTTCTTTTTATTATTCTTTTCCTTCATTTGTTTAGGTTGTCTTGTTCTATTTGGTCGGCTCTGTTCTGTACATCCCCTGTACTGTTTCTATAGAAACAGTAAATTGATTGCAACCACTTACCTTAAAATTTTTTTGTAAATTCAATGAATCATTTTTTTTTCAGTGTATATGTTCAAAATAATATCATTACACTGTAAAAAAAAAAAAAAAAATTTAAATCTGTAAAATAACAGAAAAAGTACTGGCAGCTCATTACACGTCATTATCCATTAATTTTGCCGACATTTCTGTTAACTCTAAAACACAATGAAGTGTAAAATTCAAAATACTGGTAAAACACCTGTAAAAAATAAATGTGGAAAAATTCCTTTAAATTATACAGTATATTGTTCACTATTTTTACAGATTTTTTTAGAGTGTATTTATTAAAAAAATATACACATTAAAATATTAAATATACACATCATGCATTTTGTTGGTAATGTTTTGTAAAGATTAATTAATTAAATAAGTTACCAGTTTTTGGTATTGCCGCTTTATCACCAATTATTGAAATGCATGCATGCCACCTTTACAAAGACATTTCTGTTAAATGACCTTTTGTAATAATTGTTTTAAATGTTTAATTCAACCTCATCTTATCACTTGGCCCTGTTTTCATTTTTTCTATGCTTATTCTTTAAAAGTACTAAAGTATTGTTAATGGAACCCTTAAGGAACAGGAATCAGAGTTTTTTTATTCTTTATGATCTTACATTTTTGACTTTGGTGTCTTCATTTTGAAGAAATAAAACATGGACATTATCACTTTTGTTTATTTATTTATTTGTACACATTATCCTTCACAAAGAACAGAGGGACAACATTTTGTAAAGAAAAAAACATAAAACAAAGATGAGTGATTTAACTTATTCAAACTAAAACACTGTCCTGGAATCCATAATTTCATAATAATAATAATAATAAATATATCTTTATAATTCCTGATATAATCTCTAATAAGAAATGGCTGGGTGGAATGTTCATATTCTTCAAATGTCCAGGGAATGTTGGAATGCCACCTCACATGCAGAAAAACCACAATCAAACACGTGAACGTTACATTCCCAAATACTCTCAATGTGAGACACTTGTGTTAACCTGCATCCTGCAAGACGACCACTTGAAAACTTTCTGAATCACTTCATAAGAGGACCGGCTCTATTTCCACTTGTTCGTCACGTATCCATTTACTTCTGAATGAATGAAGAAATAAACATCTGAAATATCTACTTGTTTTTCCTTCCATACACATGGGCTTCAATCATCAGGTCTATTACATTTCTACTGAAAAATGACAGATCAAAAAATGTGCTCATACTGATGAATCAGTGGTGAAATTCAACAATGGTGCACCTGATAACTACAGTATTTCCACCGAGGGCTTGGCACAAGACTAGAGCCCAAACCGAGCAATCTAATGTGTAAATACAGCATTTCTGAGGTACTTTTTTTTTTACTAGAATACACTAAATGATGTGTGAAGTGTGGTAAAACTGAATTCCCCATCTTTACCCAGTTGTCATACAGATCATTGAGACAAGAGTTGCTCAGCAGTGGTCTAAATCTTCATCCACAGACTGAAACTTAACAGGAACAAAAGCAATAACACAAAGGAAGAGAGTTGAGGTGGGACAGATATGTAACAATCATTCCATGAGGACTCCGGATTCCTGGAATCATGCAAAACGTTTTGCATGCGCCGATTTGCCCCACATGCACACAGCAGCTGCAGTACAAACACACATAGAGTATGTCGGAGCCCAGAGCCCAGTCAGTCTACATACAGCTTATCTACTATCAGCATAGAAAACAGAGCGGATAAATACAAGAATTACATGTAACAAAGGTTTGCAGATACCAAAGCTATCTCAAATTAGCCAAACTAGTCTTTTTGGATCGTCTAAACATAGAAACCATCTAGGTTAGTAAAAGCACATTCAGTTTTTAGTATAAAATCTGCAGGATAATGTACGCCTTCTCTGTATTTACAAAAATCCTAGTATATATAGTGTCTCTTTAGTGTAACAGTAAACATAGCGCTCTACGTAAAAGTACTCACAGAGCAGAAATGCAAGATGATCGTAAACTAAGACCTAAAAAGATAAAAATATCCGATATATACTGGAAAGCTCCCTTTGATAAGAACACGTAGTTTAACACGAAGAGTATTGATCACCAAAGGACAGAAACACGACCAGAAGACAGGGTTATATTAGAAGTTATACATAACTGACCTCCCACCCCCCTCCAACATTTGACAAAAAATCATGTTGGGCAATTAGGGAGTCATAAACTGGGATGATTTATATGAAAACCATTAGGAGTTTTTGCATTGTGGCATAATTTTTATGACAGTTAGGCACATTTTAATTACATTAATGTTTTTATTTTGTCTGTAATTCTTTGTTCACAATGGCGACTTTCGTTATGTCGAACAATTATAGTAATAAGACTACCATGGTTTATAAATACTTAATGTACATTAAATAGTACATCTTCATTTCACATTTTTCCACATTAAAGTAAGGGTACATTAATTGAGCTTTTAGAGTAAAGGTGCTTAACACAGTCATGAAAATGTCACAATGCACAAAATAAAATAAAGAAAGCTTAATGGTTTTAAAACATGATGTCTTTTTCTTTAAGCAAAGAAGAATTTCTGGGGTGAAATATGTCCTGGACATGGTTTTGACAGGGTTTTCATCTCGTTACATGTTCTTTATATTGTAGCAGTGGTAGTTTTCTTTAGCATACTATGCAGGTGTTAAATCAAAGAGCATATCCGTTTCTAACAGAAGAGACTCAGTTTGGTTTGAAATGTTGCATTGGCTACTCTTTATCGGGCCCAGGCAGAATCTGCAGACTTTTTTTGTGCTGATCATGACAGAAAATCTACGGGATGGATGTAAACAGGGTAAAATATGTTCAATAAAACAGTATCATTCGATTATCTGAAGTATTTCATAAAAACAAACGTGCAAGCGGATGAGTAGGACAGGTGATTTAATTCTGTGGAAATCTGCATCTGGATTCTGCGGGTGCGTAGGCCTGCGCTTTACCAACGAGGAATCACAATTCATACATTTCGAGCGAGAGGAAAAGTTGTGGATATGTTGAATATGTAGGAACCAGGCGAGCAGGCAGTGACGGGATTGGAAGTTGTCATGCTAAAACTCGGGGAGCGATAAGGGTTCAAGTTTCAGCCCAAGATAAGGGACACCACCAAGAGATCTAGTAGGAAATCAATACGCATATATATAAAAAACCTTTTGATGCAGTTATATTTTGGCACTCCTATAACAAGATTTTTTTTTTTAGATTTACAAATATATAATTCAGGAACATTAGAAATGGCAGTAGAGGATTTAAGGAATAGGACACAAAAACCTGTTTCATGTCAGCATGCTTCACACACAAAGAATCTGAGGACTGGAAAAAGGGATTGTTCATTATCTCCACCTTCAAAAAAAAATACGGCTTTGGGCCTGCACATAACATCTATCTGCATACATGCATTAGATGAACTGTCATTACTGTGAGGACATTATCACTCTGTTTCAAAAAGCCTAGAGAGCTGCCTTTCTGTCTACTGCCTGCCCAAGCAGCACCCTAACCGAGATGGAACCTCATAAAAGAATCATTTGTCTTTGGTGCCTTAAAATGCTCATGATATATTCCCTTCAGCCATCAAACCCACTTCTCCAGCCCACCTCAGTTCAGATAAAGGGTATTCAACTGTCTACAAAGATTTGGTGAGTTCATAAATAACATGGATGTGGTTGTTAGTTTGAGCTGGACGGGCGGTCCTCTTCTTCATTGGGCCGTCTCATACCACACTGTGAAGCGACGATGGGTGGATGAACTCTGGGTTTATGTAAGAGAATCCAGCGAATTCGCTCTGGTCGATGTTGGCGATGACCAGTTGGTCTGGAGGGGTCAGCATGGGCTGCGTGCGGGTGAAGAATTTGTCGAAGTTCTCCGCCGCTTTGCCGCACTGTGAAAGGAAGGGGAGAAGAAAGACGGCGGGTTATTTTTTAGATTCAATTGAAAAGCTGGCCGTGGTGCCTGAGAGAAAATTCATTCACGTAGGACTTCCGTTACAGACGTCACGTACGCTCATATGTCCAGTAAATGGAGGATTTTTAGAACGATGACTGGAAGGGGAATATTCAGGGCTGTGTTAAAGGTCGAAACGACTGTAGCCCAGCTTTAGCACCTGTGTGGTCCTTTGAGGGGGCTGTGCAAACAAACATGGGTGGGCACAGGTTGAGATGAATCAGGTTATACCCGTAAAACACACATATATACACAGAGTGAGGGAAGATGAGCGCAGAGGGTGGGTGGTTTTGATGCAGACACATGAAAAGACTCTTAAAATAGTCCAGGCCTTTATCATGTGGATTCCTTTATTAGATGGCCTGAGATGGCCAATCAAATGAAAGTAGGCGGGGTTTACTGTTCATAGAAGCAGAGCGGGAATTCCAGCGTGAAGCAACAGATTAACGCTGAAAGAAAGCGAGGTAAGACGCAAGTTGCAAATCATTTAATATTATTCAACTGTTTCACGATAGAAATGTTAAATAACAGACAGCTATAACCAATGACCTTTTGAGAGATTAAAGCTGCGTGTATGAATGATCTGCGTCTGTGCGTCTCTCTCTACAAACAATGAAGCTAAGTTTGGTTACTTCAAAACAGCGAGTTCGAAGATCGAACAAGTTCGAAGCTGTTGTAAATTACTCTACAAACATACACCTTTGTTTACATTTGTGTGTTGCTCGGCAACCACTTTGTTGGAACCACAACTGTTTCTGAGGAACTACATTGGTGGAAGAATGTTTTTATTCATATCATTACACTTTATTTGCTCTGTTTTATTTTGTGAAACCTTACTACGTATATGGAATAACCATTTTATAAAAAAAATAAGCCCCTTGAAGCCGTGGTTTACAGTGAATTTATAACAGCTAAGGGGGTTGTAGCTAACAACGCCCCTTAGCTGTTATAAATTCACTGTAAACAACAGCTTCTTGGGGCATATTGCTTATTTTACCGCCTTGTTGCTGAGAGATATAATGTAGCGATTCAGTCTTGAAGCTAATTTATAGCGTTGACTGTGTAGACTAGCGAAGTTTCTGTGTATGCGCAGCACAATCTGTGCATTAAATGGTTTTAATACACACCTGCATTTTAAATATATAAATAATGGTCTCCCCCAATATTCAAGACATGGTTACGGTCTTAAAGCATGACTCAAATGGATGATGGGCAAGAAGAAATGACGATAATGGTATTTGGATTTTTTTTTTTTTACCAAAGAACGAAATAGGTTTGGATGAAGTCATGAAGATATCGTGAACGTGGACTTTACATGTTACAGCACGAGCTAGAGGTGAGTAATACTTCTGTCTTCAGTCAGCTAGCTTTATGATTGGGAATTGTTTCGTTCCGTGTGACAATCTACAGAGTGCATGCATGTTTGTCCCCTTACACAACAGGATTTCTGATAATATAAATATTCAACATGTTGGATATTTATGATTTGAGATCAATGAGACATTCTTCTGAGCATATTCAATCACTCTTAACCCAACCCACAGCACAGCAGAAAATCTGATAAGATTATCTGTAGAACCACCAAGATAATCGGGACCTAGGATGATTGGAAGGGCAGAATTCGGGCCAAAATCTGCCCGATTATCTTGTGGTGTGTGCCCCACTTAAGTGTGGTTTTAGACCTGTAGACTGTCCCGAAACAGTGACTTAAATTGTTATGATAAGGGATTTCGCACCGGGTAGTTATAGGAACTTTGTTGCAAGAACTAGCCACCAGGGCAGTCCCGTGAGAACGACATTTTCACCTAGGGCCATTTTCCTGGTCGCATTCAAAGCACCAGTAGGAACTCTGAAGTGACATAAGCTGGCCTACAGTGACGTCATTTAGGTGTGGCACTCAACAATGTCAGCAACTGGAGGATGGAGGACAGACAAGTGCCAGCGTCGGTCCGCTGTTATCCATGTTCATGGAATAAGTATACACTAAAAAAAACGCTGGGTTGTTTTTTCAACCCAAATGCTGGGTTGAGACCGCTGGGTAAGTACGTGGGGTTGTTTTAACCGAATTTGGGTTGAAAATTGTTCTTGATCTATAACCCAGCGGTGCTGGGTTGGGAAAGCGGATGTGAAAGAGAGCACGCACGTCACGTTAACATCGGACGACCCCAGTGCGAGAAGCCGCCATTTTCTCAGCGTCTTCAGATGGAAGCGAGTGCGAGTGGTATTTACATAAGATTTTACAATATTAAAATTTTTTGAGGTGTTAAGAGAGGGTTATTAACATATTTACATGTTAATTTGTTATCTTTTTTTCACGGTTACATTGAATGTAGTTTCCTAAGGGGAAGTCGTGGCCTAATGGTTAGAGAGTCGGACTCATAACCCAAAGGCGCAGCTTCTTCAGAAGAGAGGGAAAGACGGTTTAAAGCAAGTAAACTTCAGAATTCCATCATGTTATCCATTTTTTTTTTTTTACTAAGAGTTAAAGAATGTTTGTTGTTTTTGTAGATGTTGAAAGCCAGAGACATAGGAGAGCATCATTC